CAGGGCCCCCCCGCCTGCCCCGGTGGTCTCTGCCCTCGCCAGGCCTGGGTGGGGTTCTCACCCTGCAGGCCTGGGACAGGCAGACCCTGACGCCAGGAGAGACACCGCAGGCTGGGTGGAATCGCTGGGGGACTGAGGAAAGGGGCCGGCCCACGCCCCAGCTTGCAGGAGTCCCCACAAGCCCCCCGCCCCAGGGGTCCACCACGAGCTCCCTGGGGGGCCGTCTGCAGGCTGGGTGGGGACATCTCCTTCCTGTGCTTGAGGCCCCGGGGCTGCCTCTTGCCCGCCTGAGTCTGGTCCTGGCCGCTCTGGTCGAGGAGGAGTTCCAGGGAGGGCACGGGGTGTATAGGCTGTGGGGCCTGGCCCCGGAGTCTGCCCCGGCCTTGGGCAGCCAGTGAAAAAGACCGCAGGCCAGCCGCGCCGAGAGGGAGAGGCCCGGTGCTCCTGAGCGGCGTCCTGGCCCCCAGCCTGCCCGCCAGGTCCTCTCCACTGCCGGGGCCTCCCTGTGTGGGGCCGTGGGCCAGGTGTGTGCGTCCGGTGCGGCGTGGGCTTGCGTGGGACGACCACGGGAGCTCTCTTCCTCCCCAGAATCTGACCCGGGATGGCAGCAGACCCCTGGACGTTGGGCAGGGCCTTGTCCAGGGTCACTGAAAGGTCAGGCTGGAGGTGCCCGGGTTCCCCTGCCTCCTGGTCCTTGACGGAGTGGCCACCAGCTCCGAATGGGCCCTTGGCTTTCCCACGCATAAAAGAGTTTGGGGGCGGTCGGTGGCAGCTGGTCTCGGTGTGGCAGGAAGTGGCCATGGGGCCACGCAGAGGGCCCCTCTGAGGACCCCCGGGGGAAGGGCCAGCTCCTTGCTGGGTGGGCATCGTGGCGGGCGTCTAGCAGTGGGGCCGCACGGCTGGTCGTGTGTGTGCGGTGGGGCTGTCACGTGGTGGTGTCCAAGGGAGGGCCCCGTTCTCAGGAGGCCTCGAGTTTTGCAGGCGGGCAGCCGGGGCCTGTGAGGCGACCGGAGCCACGCCTCCCGGGGAGCTTTCTGCAGCCAGGGCAGGTCAGGCTGCGGCGTCGGCACCAGCCGAGAAACCGGCTTAAACGCCGTTCATTTATTTGCTCGTGTTTACTTAATTTTGAGTCGGGTCTCACTCTGTCGCCCAGGCTAGAGTGCAGGGGCATGCTCACAGCTCTCTGCGGCCTCGACCTCTCGGGCTCAGGCAAGCCTTCCGCCTCAGCCTCCCAGGTAGCTGGGACTACAGGCATGTGCCACCACGCCTGGCTGGCTTGTTTATTTTGGTAGAGATGAAGTCTCATTGTGGTGCCCAGGCTGGTCTCCAACTCCTGGCCTCAAGCAGTCCTCCTGCCTCAGCCTCCCAAAGTGTCGGGATGACAGGCGTGAGCTGTGCGCTTGGTCTCTGCTTGTTTTAATGAACTGAAGTCTAAATAGTGGTCTGTGGCTAGGGGCTGCCGTACCAGGTGGCGCAGCTGGAGGAAGGGCAAAGCGTGACAGCCTTGCCTCGGGCCAGGGCAGGGAGCCACCTGCACAGAGCGCCGTTGGGGCATGGGTGCGTCCTGGAGGTGCAAGGACTGAAGCTGGGCCTGGAAGGAGAGACGAGAGGTGGGTGGAGGCGCCGTGGCGGCAGAGAGCCGGGCCGGGTACAGGGAGTTGAGGGGTGTGGAGTGTTGGGGGCACCAGCCCACCTGGGGAAAGGGGCAGAGCATTCGACAGGAGGGAGCCAGTGAGGGTGTCAGAGCGCCCGGGGGAGACCCTGTTTGAGGGGGTGTGTCTGGTGAGGGAGGGGGGCGGGAGGGCTGGGCCAGCCAAGAGGAGACGGGTCTTGGGGACGGGGGAAGAAGAGCACATGCTGGGCGTGGTGGCTCATCCCCGGGTCCCAGCAGTTGGGAGGCTGAGGCAGGAGGATCACATGAGGCCGGAAGTTTGAGACCAGCCTGGGCAACACAGCAAGACTTCGTCTCTACAAAGTATTCTAGAAATTTGCTGGGCGTGGTGGCACGCGCCCGGAGTCCCAGCTCTTGGGGAGACCGAGGTAGGGGATGGCCCCAGTTGGGGAGGCGGAGGCTGCAGGGAGCTGTGGGCGTGCCCTCGCACTCCAGCTGCGACAGAGTGAGACCCCCGTGGCGCTTCCCTGGCCAGCCGGGGGGAGGGACCGGGCAGGTGGTCTGCCCGTGGATGTTCCTCAGGCCGCCCTCGCTGGGCTCAGGCGGGCCGGGGTGCTGGGGCGTCTTGGTCGAGCCGCCGCCCCTGACCGCCCGCCCCGCCCGCCCGCAGAAGATGCTGATGAAGCAGCAGGACCGGCTGGAGGAGCGCGAGCAGGACCTCGAAGACCAGCTGTGCAAGCTGGAGTCCGACAAGCGCCTGGTGGAGGTGAGGAGCCGGCCGCGGCCCGGGGGGCGGGGGGCGCTGCTTGCCCTGGACTCGCGCATGGCTCTGGGCCGGGACCCGTCCGTCTCTCGGCAGATGGTCTGGTTGGGGAGTGGCCAGGCCCTCGGGGAGCGGCCAGACCCGGGACCTGGGGCTCAGGGTGCAGGGGGCAGCCAGGCCCTCCCTCGGGGAGCACCCAGGTCTTTGGGGAGTGGCCAGAACTGGGGCCTGGGGCACAGGGGGCAGCCAGGACCTCGGGGAGCAGCCAGACCCTCATGAGGTGGCCAGACCCTCCCTCAGGGAGCAGCCAGACCCAGGCCCTGGGGCTCAGGGCACAGGGGGCAGCCAGGCCCACGGGGAGCATCCAGGCCCTCGGGGAGCACCCAGGCCTTTGGGGAGCAGCCAGACCCTCTCTCAGGGAGCAGCCAGGCCCATGGGGAGTACCCAGGCCTTCGGGGGCAGCCAGGCCCACGGGGAGCATCCAGGCCCTCGGGGAGCAGCCAGACCCAGGCCCTGGGTATTAGGGCGCAGGAGGCAGCCAGGCCCTCGGGAAGCGGCCAGGCCCTCGGGGAGCATCCAGGCCCTCGGGGAGCATCCAGGCCCACGGGGAGCACCCAGGCCCTCAGGGAGCAGCCAGGTCTCAGGGAGCAGCCAGACCCGGGGCCTGGGGCCGGGGGGGAGGCGCCAGCTCACTGCGCCCGCGCGCCCGCCCACAGGAGAAGGTGAGCCAGCTGAAGGAGGAGGTGCGGCTGCAGTACGAGAAGCTGCACCAGCTGCTGGACGACGACCTGCGCCAGACGGTGGAGGCGCTGGACAAGGCCCAGGCCAAGTTCTGCAGCGAGAACGCGGCGCAGGCGCTGCACCTGGGGGAGCGCGTGCAGGAGGCCAAGAAGCTGCTGGGCTCGCTGCAGCTGCTCTTCGACAAGACGGAGGACGTGGGCTTCATGAAGGTGGGCACGGCCTCCCGGCGGGACCTGCAGTACAGGGTCCGCCCTCTGCCCACGCCCCAGCGCCCGGCTGACGCAGAAGAGAGTCTCGCCGCCCACGGGGGGCAGGGGCGGGCGTTGGCCTGAACAGACGTCAGCAGCTGGGGTCTTCGCGCCCCTCTCCGGGGCAGAAGCGCTGACGAACGGATGTCCCCGGCCCGTGGGCGAGGGCGTCTCGCTGGGATGACACGCAGTGCTTCCAGAATCCCGGCAGTCCTGGCTCCGAAGCACACCTGGCCCCCGTGATGGGTGGAGGGGCCTCGGGCACTGGTGCAGCCCCTCTCGGAGGCCCCCTGCGACCCGCTCCCCGTGGCCCTCCTCCCAGCAGCTGGGGGGCCGTCGTGGGTGGGAGGCGGCACTCCCCGTGGTCCGTGCCCGTGGCTCGCGCTCAGTGCTTGTCTGCCGGAAGTGGCCGTGCCCTTGCCACGTGCTGGCTGGAACGGGATGGTGGCCTCAGGCGGTTTCTGCCCCCGCCCCCTTTCGCACTGACTGACCCTTTTCCCCCACAGAACACCAAGTCTGTGAAGATCCTGATGGACAGGTGAGCGCACGGCCCCAGCCCCGGGGGCACCCCGGGAGGCAGGCGGCCAGGCCCACGCGGGAGGTGGGGCGGGCTCACGGTCATACCTCCTCACAGCGGACGCCCCGTCCACTGCCCCCAGGACCCAGACCTGCACGGGCAGCAGCCTCTCTCCCCCTAAGATCGGCCACCTGAACTCCAAGCTCTTCCTGAACGAGGTGGCCAAGAAGGAGAAGCAGCTGCGGAAAATGCTGGAAGGTAAGGGGTCCTCCGAGGACTGGGTGCGCCCTCCGGGTGGGGCACGCACCAGAGCCCTCTCCGAGGTGCCGAGCTGGGTGGGGAGCCCTTCCTTTGCATCTGCCTCTGCTTCTCTGGCCGCGGGGCG